TCCTTCCTTCCTTCCTTCCTTCCTTCCTTCCTTCCTTCCTTCCTTCCTTCCTTCCTTTTCTGTTTTTTGAGATAGGGTCTCATAATGTCATACAGTCCAAACTGGCTTTTAACTATGTAACTGAGGATGATACCAAACTCTTGATCCTTCTGCTTCTACTTCCCAAGTGCTAGGATGAGACGTGTGCCACTGAGTCCAGCTCAAATGATGTGACCGTTCAGCATATGTGTGTGAGTGTGTATCTGTGTGTGTGTTACTGGGTGTTGGGCACAGGGCTTCACATACACTAGGCAAACTCTCTGCTGCTGAGCTATACCCGCAGCTGACTCGCTTTTTGCAGATGTGTTTCATCTTCCTGCTAGATGCCAACCACCGTGAGAGCTGAGTCAGCATCACATCCCCATGGCATCTGCTGGGTGGAACCACTCAGGGACTGTTCCCTCCACAGACTCATTCTGCCCCCCTGAGTCTCACCTGCAGTCTAGCAGGATTGTAGACCATCTCTTCAGACTGATGTTCCCTCCCTATTCCTTCCTTTCTAAGTATTTCCTTTCTGAGGAGCCACCCAGAGGAAGAGGGCTAAAAAGAATGAGGAGGCAAAATGGGGCAGTATCCCTGCTCTTTGTAAAAATCTAGGGTACAGGGAGTATAGGTAGGGGCTTAGAAGGGACATCCCTGTGCCTAACTTGGATAATAATACAGAGAGCAGGCCTCTGGAATGACTGCCCACATTTAATCTGATAAAAGCCCCAAACCTACCAGGTATTGTGGCATCCATTTAAGAAAGTACAGGAAGTACTCTAGGCTAGCCTAGAGAAAACAGATGAAACAAAAAGCCACAGAGCCACTCAAGAGGAAAATGTGTCCTCTGCTCCTTCCTTAAATCCTTGTCTGGATATGCTTGGGCTGCAGAGAACACAAGTTAGTGTGTTCCATCCACTGCTCTATCTCAATCCTTCATGTCTAAGAACCACAAGCATCCTCAAGGCCTCAGAGCTGACCAGTGGCTACCATGGTCCAGATTCTACCCGTGCCTCCTGAAACCCCCACACAGCCCTTTGATTGTCATGCCCGGTTCCTCTGCCTTCTCACACTGTCCCCTCCTGACCTGCTACCCACAAGAAGCTCCTGGGAAAAATGGAGAGTTGAGGACCCCTGACAACAGGGCATGGCAGTAAGTCTGGGGTGAAGGAGTTCAAGTTGTGCCCTTCAGGGCATTGTGGCAGAAAGCTGGCAGGGTGACGGATGTCCTCTGACAGCTGGGAGGAAGAGGAAGCAGTGGGGAAACTGCAGGGGTGGAGCAGGCTCCCTGCCACGTCCTGTTGGGAGGCTACCTCAGGTCTGGTTCTCAGTACCACGGGCCAGCTGGTGCTGAAAGAGCTGGGAAGGGTGGGGACTTTTTAATTACTCAAGTTACAGGGAAAGAGGGGATAGGAGTGAAGAAGGAATAAAGGCAAAATTTAAGATGTAACTTGCAATAATACTATTACAAATTTGGACAATTCTTTCCTGTATCCAGACGGGATCTAAATGGTACTGGGAGTGACAGTCCCCCCCGGAGCACCCGAGTTCTTGGATCTGTCATCTGAATGAAACTGAGTTAGGTGAAGCATGAGTTCAAATCTCAGCCATACCACTAATTAGCCGAATATCTGAAAAGCCCTGACTCTTTACAAGGCTGCGGTTCTGGTGGAGTTCTGGTGGGGTTGTAGAACATTCCAGAAGGCTGCTCTGATACCACTCTCATGTTCCTCCTTGTCACAGAGAAGTCCCACTTCTCCAAGTAGAAATCCCTGATGTCCCTGGGTGTTTGCTCAGGATGTTCCCGGGCTGCTGGTGTCCCTGTCTCTTTGGAGTCATCTGAAAAGATCAGAAGCCAAAGCTGGAGCTTTCCCCACAGAATTCTCGTTAGAGCTGTAACTTGACATCTGATGTTGGACCAGCTTGTGAGCCAGCTCAGGGAGGCTTAAGGTGGTGGAAGTCCTCTACTGGGTCCTTTTTAGTGTGTCTATTTAGTCCTAACCAGATCTTGCGCCCTGGGTTTCCTCTATTTGCTGCCCTTCTAGGATGGGCAGTTCCCGACTGCCCCAGCTGGACTGCATAAAGCCAAGGACAGGGTGGTGTCCAATGGGCCTTATTGTTCTTGGAGGAGGGACATGTCATCACTCTTTTCATCCTGCTCCTTCCTCTCTTCCTTTATCCTGTCAAATGGCCCCTGCTTCAGCAGCTTTCTGTCAGACATGTGACCTCTAGTCTTTCACAAAGATCTTTGCTCTCTAGTTATTCAGTCATCTTCCAAATATGTGTCAAGCCATGGCCTGCCCTTGTCAAACTCACCCTGAGACAGAGAGACCTTAGTGGAATAATCTTAGACTGTGGAGGCTTGTAAGTCAATGCACCAAAGTGAGTGTGACAGATTGGGAGGATTTGGGCAGGCGTCTCTGAGGAAGTGATGTTTGAACTGAGAAGGGCCTTGGAAAAGGGAGGGATGGGAGGTGAGGAAGATGATCTGATGTGGGGATACTCTGTACACATACACATACCATTTCCTTTGTGGTTCTCCATCAGGATGCACAATGGAAACATGTTGAGAATTTTTAACCCTATAGATGCCCAAGGGCTGGGAGTGTGGCTCAGTGGCAAGTGCTAACCAAACATATGCAAAGGCCCTGGGTTTCAGCCATAGCACTTTGGAGGCTGAGGCAGGAGGATTGCTTAAATCCAAGAGTTCAAAACCAGGCTAAACTCCTGATGAGACCTCATTGACTAGGATCAGAAGAAAGGAAAAGAAGACCTCCCCTATCAGTGGGCTTGGGGAGGGGCATGCATGCAGAGGGTGGAGGAAGGGAGGGATTGGGACGGGAGGAGGGAGGGAACCACGGGGGGGGGGGATACAAAGTGAATAAAGTGTAATTAATAAAGAATAAAAAAAGAATAAAAAAAACAAAACAAACAAAACAAAACAACAACAAAACAAAACCAGTCTAGGCAATGTTGTAAGACTTCATCATTTAATTAATTAAATGATGAGTAAAATTAAAATGAGACCAGGTGGTGGTGAGGCATGCCTTCAATCCCAGCACTTGGAAAGCAGAGGCAGATCTCTAGTCTACAGAGGGGCCAGCCTGGGCTACAGAGTGAGTTCTAGCACAGCCAGGGCTACACTGAGAAACCCTGCCTTGAAAAACAAAATAACAACATAAACAAAGACAAAAAACAAAACAAGAAAAGAAAAAGAAACTTAAAAGACAGTGAAAGTTGGACTGGCAAGACAGCTCGAAGGGCGAAGGTACTTGTTGCCACACCTGATGGCCTAAGTTCCACCTGCCTGTCCCCTGTGGGAGGAAGAGAGAACTTACTCCCAAAAGCTGTCCCCTGACTTCCATTCGTGTGCCCTGGGACATCCCTCCTCCCCCAAATAAATAAGTCATTCTTTTTGAAATACAGTAAAAGCTTTCCATCCACTGCACATCCATCTACCAGAAGATCCCTTTAATGATGGTCACCAACAAGGAAATGTAGAGACAATCAACAGATGATCTGTTAGCTCGTTTGAGCCTCTGGGTGTCACTCTCGGGGGCTGCAGCTCCCACAAAGCCCTTATCTTTCTTACAGGCTGTTACTTAGTGGTCAGACTAAGGCTGCTGTATTGTCTGGCTTCAAGGCAGGATTGAGGGGAAGGCTCGTGACTTGCTAGGTTTTTCTCCCCTATTCCCCCAAGTCGTGACGGGGGGCCTCTCCCTCTGCCTAGAGCTTTCAGGTCTCTTCCTCAAACAGGTTGCTCATGTCTCCTGACCTGCTAGGCTTTAGTTACACAACAGTCTGTTGCTTCCTAGGACAACTTGTAACGGGACTCAAAGGGGAAAGAGGATTCCCAGGGCCTCCAGGAAGATGCCTTTGCGGACCTCCTGGGAATGTGAATAACCCCTCCTATGGGGACTCCATGTATGGGCCCGGCTCCCCTCGAGTTCCTGCGGTAAGGCTCTTTGGGGCATAGTCCTGGTGGGTGCTGAGGATGCTCTCTACCTGCTCCTAGACCTTTGTGATGTAATTTAAGAAAATTCACTTTCCCTTGTTACAATGGCTACCCACATCACTATGGGAAATTGCAAAGTGGGAACAAAGCCAAAGGAAAACAAACTGTAAATTTGGATGTGAGGCCACTGAGGGCATTTCCCCTCTTTTTACTTTCAAGGCTAATTTTGATATGTTGAGATTATATTGTCTGAAAGAACTGTGCATGGCTAAGGATGCAGCTCAGTAGCTGACTGCTTGCCTAGTGTGCTCTGAGTTAAATACACAGTATTGAACATGATGAACATCATTGTTGAAGATCATTGTGTGATCATTGTTGAAGAGTCATTCCCAGATATCAAATTACTTACCTATGTAGCATCATCTTTTAAGCCTTGGTAACATATTTTTTAAAAACACTTAAATATGTTAAAAGAAGGTAGATAGTTTTATTTCAAACTCTGAACTGGCTCAACACTCCCCCCTATGAGAAGCAAACAGAGTTGGTTCCTCTGGCTCTTCCTGTCATGTGGGGAAGCCTTTCTAGGCCCTGACCACTATGTTCTCTGGCAGATTTTTGTGGTCAACAACCAGGAGGAGCTTGAGAAGCTGAACACTCAGAATGCCATTGCCTTTCGCAGAGACCAGCGATCTTTGTACTTCAAAGATAGCCTTGGCTGGCTCCCCATCCAGGTACTCTGGGGCTGGCCCCTTAGGCTGTGATCCTCCTGTCCTCAGCCAGGAAAGGGACACTCCTCTTAGAAGAGAGGGAAGCTAGAAAATTGGGGATGGACAGAGCTTCTGCTGTGTGTCTGCAGAGAGGGCCACGGGTCCTCCCTCACCTTCTGGGCAACCTTCCATAGACTACCCAATCAGAAGCTCCTATTGAGCCAGGATTCCCTTTGGGAAAGATGGTCTCTCCCCCCTCCTCCCCAGAGGAAGATGAGGAATGCCTCCTAGACCCAGAGCATTTGTTCCCAGAGCTAGAGACTGTCCTACCTTGCGGCTGCCTAGGCATGCCACCATCGTTAATGTTTGTGTGTTTCCTTGGCCAGCTAACCCCCTTCTACCCTGTGGGTTACACCGTAAGGCAGCGTGGCACCTGTGGGGATGGGGTCCTGCAGCCTGGGGAGGAGTGTGACGATGGTAATCACGATGTGGGTGACGGCTGCATTGGTGAGTGGGGCCCAGCCTGAGAGGCCTGGACAGCAGAGGGGGTGGGCTAAGCCCTGCTATCAGCTGTCATGTTTTGAGGCAAAGGCAAGGGACAGTATATGGGAGAGGGGGACGCTTTGGAGAGCTGCTTCCCAATCCCAGCCCACACGTTCATTAGCATGTCAACAGAGGTGTTTAGGGGCTTGTCTCTAGAGAAGCCTTCCTTGTCCCTGGCCCTCTTCTTCCAAGACTGACTTCTTGGCAAACCCATATTGCGAGCTCAGGAGAAGAAGGTGATGGCCCTCACTTTGTATACTAGAAAGGCAGACAGACAGGCCGAGACCAAATCAGAACTCCTTTTCTAGGTAGACACTAGACACAAGCTGTCAGCTGTCAGTGGTCAGGTGGGGCAGCTAACGCTGCCTCCAGGCTCTTGGACAGTGCTAGGACCTGGCTCTGGAGGATTCGCCATGATTCGGGCGTTTTGTTGTTGTTGTTTCCATAAAGTGACCAGAACAGGAAGTGAGACAGATGTACAGTTTTCAGAGTCAGAACAGAGTTCAGCAGCTGGCTCTGGTTGCCACCCAGTTCATCAAGGATGGCAGTGGGGACCATTTCCAGAGATTTGAGATGACAGGGGCTCGTGTCTCCATAGATCCTTCCAGCTGATGTGTGAACGGGTTGTCTGGATGAGGCTTGGGGTCAGTGCATCCATCCATGACTCAGTTTGCTTAAGTCAGAAGTGGGAATGTGTGGGCATCATTGCTGTCCTTCCTTTTTAGAAGCTCAGGGGACAGATGACAGACACTGAGATGAAGTTCCACTCAGGGCTGAGAGGCAGGGGGAGGTTATTATTCTCTCAGTGAAGCTGCACCAGACCCCTGGCAATTTTTGGATGACAAGCTCTGAGGTACTGGCTTTTCCAAGAATCCCTTCAATAGGAGCTGTCATAATCAAAAGAAAGTAGCGAAGCCTCCATGCCCTCTAAGAATAAAGGTGGGGTAAATACAAGCGTGGTAGCACATGCCTGTAATCCTAGCATTTGAAAAGCTGAGGCAGGAAGATCATCAAAAATCAAAGGCCAGTATGGACTACATAACAAGATCGTGTGTAGGTAGATAGGTAGGTAGGTAGGTAGGTAGGTAGGTAGGTAGGTAGGTAGGTAGATGGATTCACGCATGCACGCATGCATGCATTCGTGGGTGGGTGGATGGATAGAGTCCTTCTCCTTATATGAAAATAAAAGTCTCTGTGAAGGCCACATGGTCCCTTCAGAACCCAGGCAGAACCTAGTGGTAGCCTGCCTCTCCAGAGCACTGTGCTGACGGAAGCTGCACCATGCTCTCTCACCGGGGTCTGGTAGTCTCCTAAGCCTTACCTTACCAACGCTCCACAGTAGTTCTACGAAGGGGAGACAGTGCTACCCTCCCAGTTTTGCAGATGACAGGAAGGCTCTGGTCTCCCTGGTAGGTTTGTTATACAGAACCCTCATCTCATTGTTCTTACCTCAGCTGTGTCAGTGAGATGCTTGGTCCTGGGAGGGTCTCAAACCCTATGGAAGCTGGTTCTTACATGGGTGCTCTTGGGGCTCCACTGGGTCAGACTGTCCTTACTATGTGGGCAAGCCTGTTACACCCTGCTCCTTCTCAGGACTGTACTTCTTGTACCTCTAGACTGTCACCGGGCCTACTGTGGAGATGGTTACCGGCACCAGGGCGTGGAGGACTGTGACGGCTCTGACTTTGGCTACCTGACATGCGAGACCTATCTCCCTGGGTAGGAAGGCCACCCACACTCTCACGGCTTATCCCCTCCCCTGCTCTCCTTCACAGATATTTTCAAGGGCCTTCTGTGTTCCTGGTACTTTCTCAACACCGAGGTCGGGTTAGAGTCCATGTTCCCCCATCATCACACTCCCCAAGAGGCCCCGGTCAGAGCACTCTCAGCCCGTAGGTCCATGCTGGGCCAGGATAAAGTAGGCTCCAGGTCAGCTAGTCCCAGTGGTTACTGGGATGTGGCCTGGGAGGAAGTAGAGAGGAGAGCACAGAGCAGCAATGAGGGCATTTCACAGACTCCATCTGTCTACCCGGCTGAATTCCCAGAACACTAGCCACCTCCATAAATCTAAAGGAAATCAGATCAGAATGAATATGTAACCTTAGGAACTTACAATATAGCTCAGAAAGCCAGGTTCAATTCTCAGTCCTGCAAGAAAGAAAAAAGAAGGTCTGTAAGATGACTCAGTGGGTAAAGGCACTTGCCATGCATGCCTGGTGACCTGAGTTTGATCCCCAGAACCTAGGTAAAGGTGGAAGGCGAGAACTGACCCCACAAACTTGTCCTCTGACCTGCACGTGTACACCATGCATACTTCTACCCCATCACACACAGAGAGAGAGAGAGACAGAGACAGAGAGAAAGACACATACACATAATTTTTAAAAAGTAAAAAGAACAATGTCTAATCTCGCCAGTTCATGATCTCTCAAAGAAAAGATCCCCTTCAAGGACCCCTCTAGACACCTCAGAAAATCCTCAGTGGACATTCAAATGTGTTAATGTCCTGCCTTCCACAATGGCATCTTCCAAGCTACCTGAAGCCCCAGCCTCCTGCCCAGAATGTACCGTTCCAGTGCGGAATGGCACTAACCGGTGCTGTGCTCCCCTGCCCCTAACGGAATCAGTTGTGTGGCACTCTAGGGAGCCATTCAGATCACTTACTCGCTCAGGAGTCCAGTAGCCTCAGCCTTGGCTTTCGTCACTTAGCTTCTGGCAGGCCTTCAACGGGCTGGAAAACAGACAGCTCCCTTCCCACAGTTCCCTCCAGCCCATACTCTCAGGGCCCTCCTCAACACTCAGCCTCCAACACAAGCAGCCTAGGCCACCTGGCTGCAGGAGTGGCACACTTCCTGTCACCCCCAAACTCCAACCCTGGTTAGGCTCAGCCAGAATCCCACTGTGGTGTATGTGGGAGGCACGGGGGCACTGTCCTATGCCTGATCTAAGGAGAGCTCCTAATAGCCACCTACGGGACATGGCCAGACCGAGCTGCTTACTGGCCTTATAGGGTCATGTAGTGTTGACATGGAACTAACAGCTGGATGGAGCCTGGGGCTGCTCGTCCAGTCTCTAGAAGCCTCCAAGAGACAGATGTGAACATGTGTGGATAAGATACTGGTTGAAGATTACCATTTGGGTTTGCGGAAGTGTAGACTACTCTGTCCAGCACGGCAAATTAGCTATTGTTTTAAAACCGTTAGAATTTTAAACTCAGTCACGCTAGCCAGATTCCAAGGGCTCAGCAGCTGTGCCAGGCCAGTGCTGTCCCTCAGACACAAATAGAGGACATCTGCCTTGCTTTAGTCCAGAGTGGTTTCACAGACAGTACGGGACACCTGTAGGCCTTGAGAGGGGTTGAGCATCTCATAGGGGATGTGTTGACATCGGGGCTGTCCTACCACGCCAGTCCCACTGCTAGAGCTTGAAGTAGAAAACCCCAGAGACCCACACCCAGAATGAGGCAGAAAAGGTTTCCTAGACTGTGGCTCTCATTGAAGGTTACGGATCAGCAGTCACTCTTTACGTGTGCTTTTCCCTGCCCACTATGCTGTCTGCTGTCCCTGCCCTGAGCAGTATTTTTTTTTTTTTTTTTTTTTGCCTCCCTCAGATCATATGGAGACCTTCGGTGCACCCAGTACTGCTACATCGACTCCACACCCTGCCGCTACTTCACGTGAGAGGCTCAGGGAACAGGCGGGCCGCAGCCCCTGTCACTGGTGGCTGTTTCTCTGCCCTTCACATCAAGCTGGCCTGGCCCTCTCCTGGGACAGTGCCCATTGACCTTCATGAGACAAAACAAGGATACATTCTTGCTGCTAAGACATGCTCTGGGCTCAGTTTGACTGGAGGAGTTTTGGACCACTGCACCCTGTCTTAATCAAAAGAACCAGAAACCCTCTACACGTCCACCCTTGGAACTGTCCCCCACCCCCACCCCCACCCCACCACCATCTGGCTAAACAGCTGGCTGTAACGCCTTATCTTGCTGGCTCAGGCCACACGTGGACTTGGCTTAGCACTGTTAGACATACAGGAGTCTGCGGCCCCGGTGCGGTTTGTTCTGGTCTCACTTGGGTTGAGGAGCGCTGGTGCGTAGGCTTCCGCACCGCCACGCACAGCTGTTCTGACCCCAGGCAGCCAGCTGTTGTGTCTCTCGCGATTTAAGAGCCACAAAACAGGAGGTGAGCATATTCTCGTGGTGCAGCTCCCAGCTTCAGATGTGCTGAGGGCCCCTTCAACTGGCCAGAACCTGCGTCAGCCTCGTGTGAACAAGGTCCAGGCTTACTCCCAGGAAAAAGGTGGACACTCAGCCGAGGCACTTGCCACATGAACCCTATCAGAACAGAAACCTCCCTCCTCTTGAAGTTCTCCAAGGGACAGTGGCTATAGCTTCAAATCCCAGGCACCATCTTGGCCTTGTGGTTCTCTCTGCATCTTGACCTGTGTCTTGACAGTGCCCTTCAACCATGTCCTGTGTGGGAGGCTGACTCCACACACCCTGTTCAGGACAGGCGCTGGTGTTTCCTCATGCTGGCTTCCGGGTTTGGGGTTCCACTGCTGAGTCCTTGCTGCCTGCTGGAGAGGCCTTGCGACCCTCCTCCAGGCCTGTCATCCTGTACACCCTTGTATGTTGTGTTGTCTTCCCTTATCCCCCGTGTGTGCCCAACCTCTTCCTTTACCCAGGATTCCTTTTTCCTTAAGTCTGCATATCTTGAGAACTGTCTTTCCCATATTTCCTCGAGTGGGTTTGGCTCTATTTTGGGAAAAATCTTTTGTCCACCTCCCCAATCCACACATCTACCTTGTCGTCACATAGGCTGCCCTTGGGCTGTTCCACAAAACTCTTCAGTGAGCCGAAAATCTTGGGAACTCAGCAAGTCCGAACTGTGAACTGTATTTGCTGAGAGAAATCAGCAGGCGGCTGTCTTCGAAGGCAGGCATCTCTGTCATTTCCATTACTGTCTGGGGCTTCTGGGTGGATGAGCAAGGAATAAAGATGATTCCTGGCTGTGGCCCACTCTCCCTCGGGTGCTGGGGCCACAGTGCTTATTGGTCCCAGATGGAGTGGAGAGAGTGGGTTCAGTTCTACTTTCCAGACTCAGATGGATGGATTTGCAGAGCACCCATTTTCCTTGAGGATAAGGGAGGAAACTGCTGCCCAGAGGCTCGTGAGTCTTGCCAGCCCAGCACTGGCGCTGGCCTTGCTGGAGGACCTGCTTAGGATGGGTGAAGACCGAGTGCCACCTGAGCAGCTGAGATTCTGACTAGGTCTTTAGAGATGCAATTAGCAACCAAACAAGGTTATGCCAGCCAGCCGAAGGCTGGTATTCATTGAGTCACAACTGAAGTGTCCAGTGGTGGGTAGGCAGAGGTCAGTGAACGGCCCTGCTTCATAACTCTGCATCCCCTGATGCCAGGGTCCCTTCTGCTAATGTCAGCTGACCGCCATGCTGTCAAGCTCTGTCTGCTCTGCAGCATGGATCAGGGGAGTAGAGAACAATTCCACAGGTTCTTAGCCCCGAAGCCCCCAGGGAAATCTCACCGTTAGACTACTCAGCTTGTTTTGGGTCACAGGCCTGTTTTTAATCATCAGAAACACGGTGTGTGCTGAGTCAGTCAGAGCTGGGTCCTGAACACATGCTGGCAGCCTATCCTCTGAAAATTCTCCATGGTGACCCAGCTGACCACTGAAGAGCAAGAATAAGGGGTAGGATGCTGTTTCGATTCTTTTCTAGTTGCTGTGAAAAAATACCCTGACGCAAACGGCTTTGGGGTGGCGTGGGGTAGGGCAGTGAGATGGTTGGGCAGGTAAAGGCACCTTCCACTGGCTTTGATGACCTGAGTCAGACCCCATTAACCCCCGTGGGGGAAGGAAGAACCGGCGTGCTGTTCTCTGAGCTCCACAAGCACACCGTGGCATATATGTTCTACGTAGTTTACACAAAGGACAAATAATAACTGCAATTTTTAAATATTAAAAAAAATCTTATGGGATACAGGGTTTATTTTTACTTAAAATTATAGGTTACCATCACTGTGGGAAAGTCAAGGTGGCAAGAACGTGAAGCAGCTTGTCACATCACAATGACAGTCAAGAGTAGAGAGAAGTGAATTACTGGGGCATGCTTACTACCCAACTCACTTTCTCTTCACCTATACAGTCCATGACCCAAGCCCAGGAAATGATGCTTCCCACAGTGGGCTGGCTGGATCTTCCCACATCAATGAACATAATCTCTTTTCCAAGGTGATTCTAGAGTGTGTCAAGTTGACAAAGCCAACTATCATAGATGCAAACACTGTCCATCCCAGTGGCCACACTCTGGATTGTCCGTTTCTTTCTGACAATAAGCCAACACTTCTAATAGAGGTACAGGAAGACTGTGCATACACAAGCTCTACACAGGTTCCCTTAGGCCTAGTAAGAGAGGCTGGCTCACAGGGTACCACAGTTCAAGAAAGATGAGGAGGAATTTGTGTGGGGGGGGGTGGAGATTGAATTCCTATAAATGGATTATTATTTACTGGCTTGGGCCTGGTAAATCATCTATTTAGAGAGCCAGCAGTGTTTTTCTTTCTCTCTTAAAGCTGGTTATGTGAGATGGTTTTGGGCATCTGTTTGGACCACAGCCCTTACTGGGGGAAAAAAAAAAAAGACTGGCTTTTATACACAGTTGCCCCTTTCATGTGTCCCACCCAGGAGGGAAAAAACACCAAGGTAGACCAAACCCCAGAACAAGGGACAGCTCTTCAGGTCAGGACAGAAGGGACAGGGTCTGGGGAAGGATGCATACAAGCTGAAGGCGTACTGAACTGTGATGAGCCCCGCTCAGCCAACAGCAGAGTACACAAACGAATTGACATCAGGCCCCATGGCAAAACGAGTGCAGGACCTGATCCTCTGAAGATTCTGGAGTTGAGATGAATATGGAGTGTTGTGCCTGGAAGCCTGTCAGGACTTCTGAGCCCAGTAGCTAGGGAGGTAGGTCTGCGAAGGGCTTACCAGACAAGCACTAGGACCCAAGTCCTGAGCACTATCTTCAGAATCAATGTTTAAGAAAAAAAAAAAAGCTGGGCGTGGGAGTCTGTTATTGTAATATAAGTGCCAAGAGGCAGATACAGGTGGATCCCTGGACTCAATGTCCAGCAGCCAGCCTAGTCCACTTGGTGAGTTCCAGGCCAGTGAGAGATACTGTTCCCCTTCCCCCAACTCAACACTCAACACCAGAGGGGTCTAACCTCACACACATGTACCTGCATGCACACTTACATATATGTAGAAAGGAGGAGGGAAAAAAGAAAATAGGAGAGGGGGAGAGAGAGAGGGGAGAAGGGGAGAGGGAGAGGAGAGAGGGGCAATCCTGTGTTTAACTACAAGTTGAAACAACTTTTCTGTGCCAGCTTGACCCCTGAGGGTCAGCTCTCCCAGGCGACAGTCAGATGCTCCATTCCTGCTGATTGACTTTCAAGGCACAAAGGATTACGAGCCTGAGAGTCCCCGAGGTTGGCAGTGCTGATGATTGTCAGGTACTGACAGTGACAAAGCGAGACTGGAGATGTCACCAAAAAGGAAGCAGCAGCCACTAGGGAAAGGACAGGCCACTTGAAACTGCAGTGACAAGAGCCTTGGGAGAAATGTCACTTTTGGTTTTTTTTTTTTTTTTTTTAAGATGGCTTTGTGGTATCTGCTGAGGCAATCTGATGAATGGCAGGGGCATAGGTGGCGCTGACTCCTCCTGGACTAAGGTTCCACACTTTCCGTACTGAACTGGCTTTTGATGATTTCATCAGTGAGAGAGGCCCGTGTTCTGCCCAACCGACTCACAGGGACACAGTCTGCCAGAGGTCAGCCCAGGACTCCTCATTACCCAGCCGTAAAGTCACGTGACGTGTGGAAACAAAGTATGGTCTCTGGAGAAAGTCTGGCAACTAGTACTCAAGGAAAGTGATGGAACAGATTTCTGAGTATTTCTGCAACACGCAAGTATCCATCACCTTAGTAGGGACATGGAGAGCACTGGCATTTGATGAAGAACCTCCAAGGTTCATCTGGCCTCTCTCAGCCTATGCCCCAGTTACCGCTCCAGAGAACCTTGCCCTACCCATCTCCTGTAGTAGAACGAGTCCATTTAAATCATCAATGAAGTTCTGTTCTCCCACCTGTGTGGAGAGATCATCTCCTGGGTCAAGGCCCTTTGGTCACTGGCCAAGGATCTCATTCCAACATTAATTACACGTGCCAAAGGTTCCAGGAGCAAAGGTCCTTCAGCATATGGCACAAGAGTGAAGCTGGGTGTGGTAGCACAATCCTGTGATCCCAACACTTTGGAGGCTGAGGGCAGGAGGACCATGAGTTCAGGCCAGCTTAGGCTACAAAGCAAGTATAAAGCCACCCAAATCAACACAGGGAGGCCTGGTTTCAAAGAGTGATAGAATACGCGATCCCTACCTTGCCCAACTAAATGAAAAAAAAGAAAAAAAGGAAGGAGATGACTACTCCTGGGTAGATGGAAGAGAAGGTTTATTGTAGATAAAAGGAGATCATAGTCAGAGGCAGACACATCTGGAGAGTCCAGAGTGAATGTGGCCAGACTGATCTGGGCCATGTGAGGAGAGGGGGAAAGGGAGAGTAGCTATAGACCAAGATGAGTGGCCTGGGCCAAGAGGCTGGCCAAGAGAGTAAAGGGGAGACCAAAAGGCCATGTAACCAAAGTGACTGGTTTATATAAGGAAGGGAGCAACTGGTACAAGGGCAGCCCAGCTCCTAGGCTGGAGAAAGTTAGGGTAATGGATAGGTTATGCTGACCATACCCAGTAACAGGGAGAACTTGGTGGCCAGGTCTGCTTTGATATGTTTGTTTCAGGTTTGAGACCTAACATCAACTCCACTGAGCT